AAAGAAGGGAGATTTTTCTCTGTATCAGAAAGACTAAGGGACCCATATATTACTAGTATGTCATATATTTCTGACATAAGCCCTGCCTTGAGGACTCTCCATGATGGAGATGATTTAGCATATTGTTCCCATGAGGGAGCTGCTGATTGGGATCCTGCATTTTGAAATAGAAATCCCCATAAGTGAGAGAGCCTTACCAAGAGAGTCCACCATCCCATGAATCTCCTCCATGATCTGCATGTGCAAGACTTTTTGGCCAGGATTCAGGAGAGCCCACTCCTCCATGGAGAAATGGACAGCCACGTCCTCGAAGGCAATTGGGCCCTGGTAGGAAAAGAAAACACTTCCGTCTCATATCAGGGAAATCAAGAAATAGAATTACAAGAATCTCTTTGAAATTACTTATATTTCTGTTGGTTCAGGCTTTTCGGTTTCACAATGGCTTCAAACTACAGGAAAGGAGATTCCTCTTTCAACTGGCGTGGACACTAAGATCCACCGGGGAGGCCCTTGTCTTGCTCCCAGCACCGTCAGAAGCCTGGTTGGTGGGGACGAGGGAGAGGCCTTCTCGGTGGTGGCCCCCTGCCTCTGGAATGCCCTCCCCAAGGAGAAAAGGCTGGCCCCATCCCTCACCTCCTTCCGTAAGAACTTGATGACTTGGTGGTTTCATCAGGCCTTCGATAATGACTAGTTTCAAGTCTCAAGCCCTTGGTCCAACAGTTAGGATTTTCTGCTTACCTGATTCAGTTCCACTCCATCACAAAAGGGAAGACTCGACTGTGGATTTGGCAAAAACATCATTCCAGCCCCTGAGAGAGAGAGAGAGAGAGAGAGAGAGAGAGAGGGAGAGGGAGAGGGAGAGAGAGAGAGAGAGAGAGCAAGGTGTGGATAGCTGAACACATAAACATGTCTCAGAGGTGACAATTACAGTCCTCAAAAGACACCTGTGAGGAAATCACCCTATGAACACTGGAGCATTCTCCAGCCCAGGAATATGTAACATTTTGGAGTTTAGGCCATTTTATTTCAAGTAGAGATTTAAGTAGCTTGGATTGAAGCTAGTACTGGGCTTGGTATTTCAATTGACTAGAGTTATTCTTTGTTGTCAGTTGGTCTTCCAGTTCAGTTTCAGGCCTCATCTTGGCTTCGGGTCCCACCTGGGAAGACACTCAAAGACTGAATTTTCAGTCAGATCCAGCTTTAGCTTAATGTACAAGTATTGCAAGAAAGAAAAATGCAAATCCCACTGAAATTGCACCTTTTGAAATTGAATGCCTACCTACATCCTCCTCTTAAGGCCAATGATCCTGGATGTGCACAATTTCAATCTCAAATTGATGGGGATGTGCACAATCCCTCTAAAAGGGAATTCACACCAGCATAAAACACCAAAACACCCCAAAGTGTTCCTTCTTACCCTCCAAGTCTGCAGCCCCGTCTCCTTCCTCCTTGAGCTCCTTCTGCTGGAGGCTTTGGGTGGGGCCTGGGGGAGGTTCCTCTGATTCAGGGACATCAAGGTGGGCTTCCATGCAGCCATTTTGGGCCTGGAATGGGAGGATTGGGAAAAGGACGCCATGATATGGTGGGTTAACTCTGAGAGCTATGAGTCCACAGCTGATTGGCTGAGTGTGCCAGGAGCCAAAGTTCTGATTGGCAGCTGCCTCTGGCTTTCTTCTGAGACCAAGAATTCTAACTCCCATTCTCACTTTGGACATCAAAGAGACTGCTGGCTGCTAACTGTCTTGAAGACAGTTTTATGGCATTGGGATCGACCAATGCGCAGACCTCTGCCTTCAAGTTGATCTGAACCGCAGCAGGGGGTTCCGCAGTTCCAAAGCATCTGGGTGAGCCAACATTGAAGGGACCGTGGCCACAACAGCAGCTTCAACTAAGGATCACTTCTTCCTTCCTTTTCTCCTTTGCCCTAACATTGTAACTAATCTCCCAATAAAAGGTATACTTGAATTGCAACCTTTTCCTCTTCGTAGTGATACAAAGTGCCCCTTTACTGACTCTAACACAGTGTTTCTCAACCTTCCTAACGCGGCAATCCCTAAATACAGTTCCTCGTGTTGTGGTGACCCCCAACCATAAAATTATGTTCATTGCTCCTTCATAACTAATTTTGATACAGTTATGGAAGTTGTGGTTGCTGGGATTGATAGTTCACTTGCAATCAAAGAACATTCTGAACTCCACCCATGATTGAATGGAACCAAACTTGGCACACAGAACTCCCGTGACCAACAGAAAATCCTGGAAGGGTTTGCCCTTGAGTTGGGAGTTGTAGTTCACCTACATCCATAGAACACTCTGGACTCAAACAATGATAAACCTGGATCAAACTTGGCATGAATACGCAATATGGCCAAATGTTAACACTGTAGGAATTTGGGGAAAATAGACCTTGACATTTAGGAGTTGTAGTTGCTGGGATTTATAGTTTACCTACAATCAAAGATCATCCTGAACCCCACCAATGATAGAATTGGGCCAAAAGTCTCACACAGAACCCCCATGCCTCCCTTCAGCCTTCCACACTCTCCCTCACCTGCACATACGCACTACACTGCCATGTGCCAAGTACGCCTGCTCTCTCCTTCCCACTTGGAGACTCAGAAACAGCCCTCTCCTTGGCTGAGAGAGGGTTGAGAGGCTGGCCAATCCCAGTGGTAGAGGGCTTTTGGTGGGAGGATTCCTCGTTTGTTTCCAAAAAGAAAGAGAAGGACATGTGGAGAGATCTTCAGCCTTCTCTGCCAAAGGGGTTCCTCAGACCATCAGAAATATATGTTTTCTGATGGTTTTTGGTGACCCTTCTGAAACCCCCTGGCGACCCCCCCCCCTCTAGGGTTCCGACCCCCAGGTTGAGAAACATTCCTCTAACACTTTCTAATATGAATCTCTCCTTTTCCAAGCCGCAGATCACTGCTGGCTCGCCCGGGATGCTCTTACAGCATCCCGGGGAGGCCGAAACTGCAGTCCGCTGAACTGCGGGTATGGAAATCTATCATTATTATTATTATTATTATTATTATTATTATTATTATTATTACTGGAAGAAAGGCAGGATGTGCATTTAATCTCACCATCAGTCCCAAGGTGAGTGAAACCAAGAGGAAATGCTCTCACCTGTCCTTCCTGCTTCTCGTCCTCTGCCCGACTCAGGAGGAAGCCTTCTGCCAGGGCCACCACCTGGGAAGAGGTCTCTGCCCCACACTCTCGGACCCAGCTCCCCATCTCTGGGGGCAGGATGCTCAGGAACTGCTCCAGGATCACCAGGTCCAGCATCTCCGCCTTGGTGTGTTGCTCTGGCTTCAGCCACTGGTGGCAGAGAGAGTGGAGGCGGCTGCAAACCTCTCTGGGTCCCTCGCCCTCTCGGAAGGAGGAATGCCTGAAGCGCTCGTGAGGTATGTCTGAGCTATAAAGGTCCACACTCAGGAACTTATGTGTAGGTTTTTCCCAGGATGCCCCATTGCTCCCAGGTCCTGCTTCAGGTCCAGGTGAGTTGGGTCTTCTCATGTTGGAATCACTCTGATGAAGAAGCAAACTGTATTCAAGATGTTCTTCCTCCCTCTTCTCTCAAGGAAAAGAAATCCCTGAACAGGCTCTACTCCAAAATGCTCAGCCAACAATCACATTTCCTCTGTGAAAGAAATGCAGAATTAGACAGTAGGCTTCGAGAGGCTTTTTATTGGAGAATAAAACAAACAAACAAACAAACAAACAAAACAAGCCCTTTTATTGCTTTCAGAGCCAGGTAATGCTGAGCCCTCCTTTCACTTGGGCCTCTGCTTCTCCAGCCAACAATTCTCAACCTGTGGGCCCCCAGATGGGTGATAGTATGATAGCTGGGACCCAGTGCCACTTGTCTTACGCTGTTTTCTGAACGGTGCTTTGAGTACGCAGATTGTGGAGCACAGGTGCGGGACGAAACCACATAACTAATTTCACGCAGGGGGGACACAGATAACAGTGAAGGATTGTAACAGTTCTTTAATGAATAATGATAAACAGCAGTTTGGGAAACGGTTTGGGAAGACCTTCAACAGGATAGAAATCACCAGGTAAAAGTAAAGGTTTTCCCCTGACATTAAGTCCAGTTGTGTCTGATTCTGGGGTGTGGTGCTCATCTCCATTTCTAAGCTGAAGAGCCAGCATTGTCCGTAGACACCTCCAAGGTCATGTGGCTACTGGCATAACTGCATGGAGAGCCGTTACCTTCCCGCCAGAGCGGTACCTATTAATCTACTCACATTTGCATGTTTTTGAACTACGAGATTGGCAGAAGCTGGGGCTAACAGCAGGAGCTCACACCGTGCTCCAGATTCCAACCTGTGACCTTTCGATCAACAAGTTCAGCAGCTCAGTGCTTTAACCCTCTGCACCACCGGGGACCTCCAATCTGACCCTAAATAGTAATAAGCGGTTCTATGTTGTTCCTACCCCACATCCAGGCTGCCCACAAACTGGAGGGCATTGGGCACAAGTTCAACATACTTGCCAAAAACTCTGGGGCAGCTTCGTTGTCCGAAACTGCTCAATAAACCGGATTAGATTCATTGTACACCACTCCCTCCCCATTTCTATCCTTCCTTCTAATACAACTATGAATTATCTTCCCGACTTCACCGCATCTCTCAGTCCTCCCGCTCTCACTCCGTCCTTCTCTCGACCATGTGGTCGGTCATGTGTTCCCTTCCCTCATTCACAACCACTGTTGCACTATCAGCGTAACGCTCGCGGCAGTGGGTCCCAGCTATCATACTATCGGGGGACATGAGAGAAGCCTCCTCGCAGGATTGCAAGACATCCGGGCGTCCCCTGGGCAACGTCTTTGTAGACGGCAGATTCTCTCGCCACAGAAGCGACCAGCTTTGTTCTGTTAGACTGGTTGTTCTGACACGACAAATAAATAAATCATACTATCACTCCCGGACGTTTTGGCCTTCAACTCCCAGAAATCCTAAACTGGTTGAGATATCTGAGAGTTGTGGGCCAAAACAGCTGGGGACCCACAGTTTGAGAACCACTGGTCTAGACCCACGTGGCCTCACCTGGCCTCCCACTGAGCTCCCATTCAGTCCCAACCCACACTGAATCCCCCTTGACACCGCATGATCCATAAACCTTTTCTGTAACGAACACTAATGTGACGCTTGATTCTATGAAATCTCCACTCCTTCCAAGATCTTTCCAACCATTACATTACAGTATTTGGTTTTTCAACCACAGCCCATTCACTTTGCCTGCAAGGACAGGTAGGTACCTACACTCACCCCTCTGTATCCCGTACAGCTTGAAAACATTCCCTGTGTGCAAAAGCAAGCGTAGCATTTCCCTTTGTTATTTAAGGGATTTCCCTTTCACTACTAACAGGACAACAGCAACTACAGACCTTCAGCCCATTGAAGGGGGTCTGGGAATGAGACTCCCAGGAGGAGAGGAAGGCTGCCTAAGCAGAGGAGGAGGAAGTGGTCAAGGCAGGATGGCCTGCTCTGGAGGACTGGGCTCCTCCTCCTCCTTGGCTTCCTTCCTTCCTCTCTAGCAACCCAGCCTCCCTCCCCTTAACCCTTCCTTGACCCCTTCAGATGCAGGGCTGTCTCACAAGCATTCAACTATTTGGGGAAGATACAACCTGTTCAATGTTGTGATCAGAGCAGAGATGTGGGAGGCCTTGGGACAGACTAAACTTCATCTTTCAATGGGAAGCTTCTCTATTACCATCCCACTAATTCTTATCAATGTGAAAAGAGGTTTTCTCCAGCAACTGGAAAGTGACATTTCACTGGCTATTTATGTGATGAAGCCA